GGCGCCACAAGTGCTGGGAAAGTGTGAGGTGTGTGTGTGTGTGTGTGGACGATATTAAGTGGGTACCACAAGCGATCTGCCAATGGGTGCCCAAAGTGATGCGGGTGCTATTACACAACAAGAAAGGAGTGACGAACAGTCAATATTGTGTTCGTTTTTATTTTCCATCCTTTAAATTGATGACAGGAAAGTGCCGCTTACACGTATCGAATACTTCATGAAATATGAACCGCGCTCTTCGCAAACAGACCACGTTTTTTCCCATCACAAAATTTTTAACATCGTGCGTTGCCTATTGGTCATCACTTCTCGCACAAGCCGCGCGCATCTGTTTTGCCCGTGCCTGTGCCTTCCCATTTTCAGAACGGAGACGCAGTGGGATTGAAATTCGCGTAGTGAAAGTGTTCGAGACCCTGGCAACCACGCTTGGTGCGGAGACCTTACTTGTCAGTGACTTGCTGGACCAACGCGCCATTCCCTTGCAGCGAACTAAAGGCTTCCCATCCCCAACAAAAGGGCATCTGCCAAGGACCAAGGATTTTCAACCTCAATTTTTTTCATAGTCTTGTTTCAATTGGGGAAACCAATGTGAAAGAACGAAAATGGCAACATGCTGTTGGTAAAACGCTTAGGGAATTGCATTGTGCAGAACGCATGAATAACGTGTTTATTGAAGGCTTGGTTTCTTCTCATTTTTCTGCATGACATGTTGTTTTACGTTTTACATGGCCAGTGTTAGTTCTGTGGAAAACTGTTGCTTGTGTTGGAATGAACGAGCTCCGGGATCACAGACACACCCAAAATGTTTTCTGACATTTATGTGAAATTCACTGCTTGACCTCGAGCGCCGGATGTCAGTGGGCAGTTGTTGTCTCAACCCCGCTACTCGTGTTACCGCGATGTGATTGCAGGAAGGTTTATCACGAGCGTACATTGTTGTTGTTGTTGATGATGATGATGATTTTTTTTTGGCAAAATACTTCTGAGTTGTCGACCATAATTTACTGGCCATCTTGATGTTCTACTTAAATGCCAGCTCAAACCTAGCGTTCACGGTTGAGGCCCGGCAGTGCCCAGTGAGACCTGGCAGTGCCCATTGAAATCTTGAGTTCGCAGTTGAGGTCCGACAGAGCCAACTGAGATCTTCTCTCTAGGGGGAAGGATGAGGGAAGGAAGGAAGGCAGGAAGGAAGGAGGGAAGGAAAGAAGGACGGAGGAAGGAGGGAAGTGACACTGAGAAGATCAAAAACCGTGACCTGGCAGAGGGGAAAAAATTGAATATTTCGTTTGCTTGTGCTAGCCATGTGGAAGGGCATATTGCACACATACATCCAGAATTTTTGTTCTTGAAACGAAATTGGGTACACAGCGGGGTCGTACTTCATAGCAATGTGTCATTGTAGCTTTGCATGGTTTCAACCCAAGGACAAGTCGAACTGGTCCGTTAAGACGATTTCATTTTGAAAAGATGTGCGATTGCCGCGTCTCGCCAAACCCGCGTGGGTTCGTATCAAAACATGGCAGGTGAGTAGCAACAAACAAAAATCGGTTACGGAATGTCCAAAACATGCAGTGATTAAAACGGTTTACATGTCCAAAATGGGTTTCAATTCCACGTTGATTGAACAATTTCGTTTCCGAAGTGCACCCTTTGTGATTTCCGAACTTTGATCTAGTGCATGTGTTGAAGCACGGGAACATACAGAGACACACACACACACACGGTGACACACACACGCCCACACGCAGGCCCACACACAAACCCAGACATAGGCCCACACACAATCCCACTCACACACACACACATACATTTTCATTTTTTTTTGATTTTTTTTATCTATTTTATGTTCACGTTTCAGTTCGCATTTTTTTTTAAAATATTGATATTAATATAATTATATGAAAATTCCTATTTATATTTAATTTTATTTTTACTTTTGTATTAATGTTTATGTTTACGGCCCGAAACGGCCTAGCGATTTTGCGTTTTTTTTTTTTTTTTGCGTTGTCATATGTTGGGGGAGGATGGGGGCGTGTAGTAACGTCGTGTGTCTTCGTTGTCATCGAGTTAGTTCGGTGGACACAAGTCATCTCACGTTGTACGCGTCTCCGTTACTTCGGTGGATACCGTTTACGTTACTTTGAACACGTTTCTTGTGGGGTTGGGGGGTGTAACACCGTTCCGTGTCGTCGTTGTTATCCAGTTACTTCGGTGAACACACTTCACACATTAAGTTGCGCACGTCTTTTGCGTTGTGCACGTGTTTTCTACGTGGGTGAAGCGGCTTCAAGTTTCGTTGCGCACGTGTTTTGTGTTTCGGCGAAAAGTTCGTGTTACGTTGCGAACGTCTTTTGTACTTCGGTGAGGACGCTTCATGTTACGTTGTGCACGGCTTTTGTAATTCGGTGACAAGATCTCATGTTACAGCGGTCTCACCGCAGAAATCGCTAAAGTCCTCTTAGATGACCCAGCTGCCGCAGAAGCCTTTCACCGGGCATGCCACCGATTAGCCAATGCCACCATACCAAATTCCATAGCAGCCGCCATCGGCATGGGCCAGCTGATAGCCCTTCAAAAGCCTTCTGGAGGAGTGCGAGGCTTGGTAGTCGGCGACTTCCTGCGGAGATTGGTGGCCCGCAGTCTGGCACAACACTATGCCCAAGACTTCGATGCCAAGTGCCACCCTTACCAGTACGCGTTGTCCACGCGAGCGGGCACAGAAGCACTCATCCACACCTTACAGCTAACCACCGAGTTAGATCCCGACCAAACCATTCTTTCGGTAGACGGGATCGGGGCATATGACTATGTCAGCCGTGCTTCCATGCTGCAAGGGCTCCTTAACACACCCAACGCGCAAGCAGCGCTACCTTTCGTCCGCCAGTTCTACAGCCAACCTTCCACATATTTGTGGACGGACGACACCGGCCAAGTGCGTCGCATCACACAAGCCGATGGGGGCGAACAAGGGGATCCCCTGATGCCGGCCCTTTTCTCTTTGGGGTTGGACTTTGCCCTCCGCGCCTCCCAAAGCGACTTGCTTCCAGGAGAAAGAGCAGCAGCATTCCTCGATGACATTTATGTCACGGCCCCGCCACACCGTATCAGACAACTTTTCGACCGCTTGGCCCACCACTTGCAACACCAGACCGGCATACAATTGCACCACGGCAAAACACAAGTGTGGAACGCCTCCGGGACAGTCCCGCCAGGCATCACAGCCTTGTCGCAGTCCGAGGCGGTTTGGGTAGGGGGCCATGACCAGCCCAGAGCCCAACGAGGCCTCCGCGTCCTCGGCTTGCCCGTTGGCACGGACGAGTACATCCAAGCAGAACTAACCAGGCTACACGCCAAGCAGCAGCCCACTACTTGAGGCCATCCCAACCATCCCTGATCTCCAAACCAGTTGGCTCTTGCTTCTCTACTTGCTGCATCCCCTCGTGCACACTACGCCCTACGCGGGCTGCGCCCAGACCTCACACGTGACTTTGCCGCTGCCCACGACCAAAGCATCCAGCAGTGCCTGGCTCAGCTCCTGCAACTCCCAGCCTTGCCAGAATCCAGCGCACATAGGGCCCGGCTCGCCCTCAGCCTTGGTGGCCTTGGCCTCCGTAGTGCTTTCCACCATACAGCAGCCGCCTTTTGGGCATCTTGGCAAGACGCAGCAAACACATTGCACAGCAAAACGCCAGACCTATTCCAAGAGGTGGAGCGCCACTTGCAAGCACCAGCCCGAACCTTGCCAACAATCCAGTGTATCTCCCATGTTCAAACCTTCCTCAACAACATCGGCTTCGCCACCCCCCCCTGGCCAGAGAGAACGCCACCCCCAGCATCAGTCCAACTGCCAGAAGCACCACGAGACTTGCTTAGAGGGTGGCAGCAAGCCGCTTCCGCAGCAATTGACCAAGCCTACAGCACTGCGGTTCGATCGGCTTTGGACCCAGCGTCGCAAGCCCTACTGGATTCACAAAGCGGCCCCTTTGCAGCCACAGCGTTCACGCTGCTACCAACATCCCCTGACCTTGTGTTTGAATCTGCCCCCTTCCGAGTTTTGTTGCTGCGGCGACTCCGGCTCCCCTTGCCAGCCAGGTGCAGATGCCACCGCTCGCTGGATCCATTGGGGGACCACCGGGCACCTCAGCACCACTAAAAATTATGTTGTTTCCAAAAGCCTATGATCCAAACCGAAAAAGCGCCTTGAAAGTCCACAAAGGCGGCCTCGGAAAGTTGGAAAACTTCCATCATAGTCGCCTTCCAGATTTGCCAAGCGGAGGACTTTATTCACCAACACCAATGAGGTCATCGACGTGCAAGCCTAGCACGCCGTGCACGATCACTTCTGGCCGTCGCGCTCGAAAAAACTCATCATCGTCGGCATGGGCAAGTCGAGCACTGATGAAAACGCATCTGTCCAAAGGATGCCTGATCTGGTAGAAATCGCAGGTGACCACGCTGTCCCATTGTCGTGGTGCTCGTACATCACCAAATGCTGGCTTTGTAGCTTTCAAGATCTGATGCGGTTTCAGACCCATGAATCTCTCAAGCCTTCGACGCATCTCGGCCGTTGGTTGGCTTGACGTAGATCCTGCTGCCAAGACCCTCTGCGCAGCCAATCACAGCAACACCATTCGGCGAGCCCTTTTGGCCAAAGGCCGGCAAGAACATGAACCTCTACAAGTGGGTGACTATGCCTAATACTGGCGAACCAGCAACGACAAGCTGGAACCTTCCAGATCTCGGGGCCGAGCGCTCATCTTCGCAGTTGAAACCTGAGAAACCAGCGAAGGAGTTTTGAGACCTTCTCGTCTACTGGCTGGCGCATGGCTGCGTTTTGGTGCGAGTGGCTCCTGAAAACATCCGTTTGGACGTGACATCTGAGCGCGTTACACGTCTTGAAACCCTTCCACAATCAGCAGCACGAGAACCACTCCGTGAACGGCTGGTCAAAGCTGTACGGCCGGTGCAGGGACCAATCGGATTTTTAGACTTTGCCCTCCATGGGCCCCGTTCTGACGCATGTGATGCACAAGATCTTTAAAATTCGCCTGGTGACGATCACCCCCCTGTCAGCGGTCTTGGGCTTGGACTTGAGGGCCGGAGTCTTGGACTTGACTCATTGGCATCGGGGGCGGACCCACCGACACAGCGGAAGAAGGAGGATAACAAGCAAAAGAAGCGCCGAAAACACAACCAAACTGAGAATGAACGAAAAAGAGAACAGGCGCGGCAGGAAACAGAAAAGCAATTGGAGGATGTGATCAACGAGAACCCTGCCGAGCCCACAACGATTGAGAATGACATGGTCACGGCCGATGATGCGGTCGCTGGGAACGCCGTGACCCCACAGAACGATGCAGTGACTGAGAACGACATGGCCATTGAGAATAACAACGTGACGGTGAAGGACATGTTTGCGAAAAAGAAACAAGAGCGAGATAGAGCTCGAAACCCCCCGCCAGTGGAGCTCATGAGGCAATCGCATGTGGCGGCTCGAGTGTCTTATGGACTTCCAGGACGGCATCAAATGACGGATGAGCACAGCGATCAAGCCGTGGATGGGCGCCAACGACACTGAGGATGACGAGTTCTTTGCGGAGGAGTTCGGCGAACGACGGCTCACAAAGGAGGAGAAGGCCATGTGCGATGAAACTAAAGACAAGGCGCTCATGGTGTGGATCGACAACAATGCATGGAGAGCAGTGGATGAACATGAAGCTGGTGCCGGCGAAGTGGTTCCAACACGTTTTCCGCAACGATGGAAAACGACCCCAGAAGGGAAAAAAAACAACGCCCGTGTCATCGTACAGGCCTTCAAGCACAAGGACGTCTTGGAGAAGGAGCTGGAGACGGACAACCCCACTCTGTCTAGAGTGGGTCGCATGCTGATCTATGTCATGGCAGTCCACCAGGGCTGGAAGGTCTTCAGCGCCGATGTGAAGAATGCATTCATGCAGGCGGACAGCATTCGTTGAAGAAAGATGCCCTGGGCAAACAACATGTTTTTCCAGCGGTTTCAGCTTGTGCGACTCGGATGTTTCACACCTGTAGTTGATGCCTTCCTTGATGATGGCCTCGTCAATCTTTGGGTCACGTAGAGCTCGAACCAGCTTGTCGTTGTTGAGATGTCCAAGTTGACGATGAAGTTTGGCCACCGCCCGAGCTGCCCAACTGGAATTCACCGTGGCCTTCTTCCAGTCATCAGACTTCAACTCGGCTTGCGCCTCTTCCATCTCGACCTCTTTAAGACGATCAATTTTTCTTTGATCTGGCACTTGAGCCAATCCGCAAATCCGGTATTTTCGGTGTGCAGATGGAGGAACAGCGAGATCGCACTATGAGATCGACTTCATGACTGGCATCAAAAGACAGAAGGTGCCAATCAAGGCATCAGTGATTGGAGGAAGAACGCCATTCTTGCTGGCGAGGCCTACCTTGGAGACCTTGGAGGTGAACCAAAACTACGGCAACGGCACCATGAGTGTGATGGACTCCGAGTGGTTTCAACCCGAACGAGGGCAAAAAGGCCACTACATGCTCAACCTGCTGGTCTATGTCACCGACGAGGTGGCCAAGAACTACGCCATTGTGGATGACGATGTGGAGCTGTTCATGTTCCCCAAAACGTGTCTGGGAATTTTGCCCCATTAATCAGGCCAAGCAACGCCGCAACCACAACCTGTCGGCCAACCGGCTACAGCGGGGGGGGCACGGCGAGCGACGTTCCCTTTGGGACGAGGCCGTTGGTCGTGCTCACCCGAGACGCAGCTGTTCTAGCGCTGCTGAATGAGAACTCCGGCAGACTGAAGCTGCCGTTCAGCTGGCTCGCCGCGGCTTGCCAGGCAAAACCATACAACGCCTTACTGGTGCACCTGTGGCTGATCCCCCTCCGGCAGTTGTTGTGTGAGGCAGCAGGTGTCCGGTATCTGCCATTGGTGTGGGAAGCACAAGGAGCTGCACCCCTGAGACGCGTGCCTTTCTGCACCGTCTGTCTGGAGCGGTGGCTCTTGTGGAAGGAGCCGCCCTCGAAGATGTCAAAGCTCGGTTGCTGGGGCAGATCTCTGTTGTCTTGTCTCGCGCCACTGGACGGGCCATCCGCCGCAGGCGAACTTTGATTGAGGATCAGGCCCCTGGGGGTGCACACTGCTGTGGCTGAGTTCCTCTTGGGTCCTTAAGGGGCCATCGGCCTGTGCGACTGCATCCTGGATGATGACATCGTCTGCTGGTCAGTGAGTGGGCTATGACAGTTTTTTCTTACACAATTTGTGGGCAGTCGTCCCCTGAGGGGTCAAGCTCTTCCCCCCATCATTGTTGCGGGTTTCTGTTTTCTGTCTTGCCGATTCCGGACGGCAAGTTTTCTTCCCTTCTGAGAAGGTTTTTCCTTGTGCTTGGGCCGGCTGTGCAGCATGCCGATCCCACCTGGTAATGGCCAGATGTCGTCGCCACTGCAGACAGCACCTGCAGTGATTGCCCATGCTTCGCCACATCTTCCAGCCAGCTCTTCCATACCTCTTCACCGACGATGGTTCTTGTCGCACCAGAATCCACAATGGCCATGCCGACCTCGTTGGAATGTAGTAACCCTAGATGTGGATCACCTCTTCTGCAACCATCGCCACATTCTCCTCCGGGACCTCCTTGACTCCGCCGCTCTGCAGTCTGTATCTTTTGAATCTCGGCCCATGTGATGCCGTTGATCCACCCAGCGTTGATCTGAAGTCAGTGTTTGTAGTAGAGCTCGACGTTGATGAAGTGCCACCACCTGGTCGCCGAAGTCCAGACATAGGCCGTCTCGGAGTTGGGGATCTCCTCATAGGATAGCTCTTGCCTTTGCCCTTGCCTTTCGAAGTCTTGCCTTTGCTACGTCCTTTTTGTCCGCGTCCTTCACCACATCCTTTGCCATGCATTTCTTCTGGTCCCAACGCCACGATGGGGTAGCAGCCGCGGTTCGCAGGGCAATCTCCTTCATCCCACGCCGAGATTCCATGTAATTCACGAAGGCTTCCCCCGTCAAGTCCGCCGCATTCTCCAAGTCAGAGGGCGCTGCGTCGTCATAGTTCTCGTCGTCCTCGAAGTAGGCCTCGTCCTCGTCATAGTTCGGATAGTCATCCCAACTCTGGCCGTAGTCCTCGTCGTTCATAGAAGGCCTCGTCCTCGATGTGTTCCTCATAGAACGTCTCCTCTCTGCCAGCCTTCGTCAAGTCCTTGGGGTTCGGCTTGTGGTCCGCTCCAAACATCCTCATCAACACCTTTCTGACCTTGTCGTAGACCAGATCTCCTCCACATAGCGCCTTCACCTGCACCTGCGTCCATTTGGAACTCGAGCCCTTGTCAGTAGGTGCCACTCTGCAAGTAGTTCAGGTATCTCCACCTTGATCTCCTTCATTTTTTTCATCATCGTTGCACGGCGAATGAGATACGCTTGCATCTCTTCGCCCTTCGTCCGGCTGAAGTCCTGAAAGAACTCCTCACATCTATTTGGAACGTCCACCACATCCTCGTACTGGTAGAGGCCGTCCAACAGGTCGAGAAGGGGTGGGAATGGTCGCTCTTCTTGCTCCATCCTCTCGAAGTCCAGCAGCTCTGTTGCCTCCCATGCTGCGTCGTTCAAGAGCCTCACCGCCAAGAACGCACCCTCGACTGCCGTCTCGCGTCCTCGTCGATGGCACTGCATAGAAAACAACACCAGTCTCCGCCGGTAACTTCTGTATGATTTTTGCGTGTGTCCATCAGCTTGTGAGGCTGATTTCGCCAGGCCACTGTCAAGGCCTGTTCTGATTCCACCTCCTTTCGCCGAAGTGGTAGTTGCCAAGGTAGACAGTGTAGATGCCTGACCCTTGCCACCACCGTTGCCGTTAGCACCATCTGATGGACCTCCCATTACCTGTAACCCTTGATGTCAGTGAAGTTGCAATCTTTGGGCACAATGGTCGTCTGATCCTCAAGCTGCAGGAAGTTGATGTAACCGTAGCAGGCCGTGAGGATCCAGTAGGGCGCCGCTACCAATGCGAATTTGCCAAAACTCCCGAAGTCAATGGTTTGCAAATAGTTTTTCCAAGGCACGGTCGAATGTCGTCGACGCCTATGCTCAAGGGCCCTAAGCCCAAAATGTTGCGGCGAATGCCGGCTGATGAAAATGCCTTGCAAATGGAATGGCAAGGATAAAATGTGAAATGGATGTCAATGGCATGAGTGTTAATGCCAAATGCACAAGGTGGGGTATACGGTTTGGATGTGTTGGGCCTGACATGGGGACATGAAAATATCACATGAAAACTTCCAATAAAAATATTGGAAAACATCTCCCATATTTGGGGGTGCAATTCCACGTAAAGTGGAAACATGCCCATAATTGCTGGAAAATATTTCAACTTATGGACGTTATCGCCTTTTTTTTTTGGTTTTTGAAATTTATAGCTTTAGCTTGGGCCCCATTTTTGGATTTCTCGCCATGATATTTAAATCGCATAGATGGACAGATCACCTTCGGTGGATGTTTTAGATTTTCAATATAGTAGTTAGATCTGAAATCGCATATTTGTGTGATATATGATGAATGAAAAGGTTTCATGGCATGGCCGATGCATTACTCATGGGTGAAGACAATGGGGTATGAATGGGTTGGAACATGTTGGAACATAATGCTCAATACGGTTCGTTCGGTTCCTGTTATGATTTTGTTCAAATACGAAACGGTTTGTCACTTGCATAACTCTTTTTGATGGTGAAAATGGTCCTGTCTAATTTTTTGTCTTATGTTTGTTAGCAAGTAGGCAACCGCTTTCGGAACGTATGGCTTTCAATCATGCCTCACGTCCGCTCACAACACATGCCGAGGGGGGGGGGTTCATGAAAAAAACAAATCAAAAACGCACATCCAAAAATGTGTCTTTACTTTGTGTTCGGAGTAGCTGCTAGCCTGCAAGGTCTCATCAACCACCTGATCTTTCTGCCGTCGATTCGAAGAAAATACTAATTTTGCGCGGTTTGTTTGGAAACCGAAATCATACGTCAATTTTTTTTATTGAATTTTTTCATTTATATGTATTGTTAATTTTATTCAACGCCATGTTGATCCATTTGATATTTGAATCCCGCTTCCCCTGAGCATGTGATCTTGGCTAGGTGTGCCTTTATGATCCGTTCGTGAGTATTAGGACTGTTTGTACACACTGTCATGTCACCCGTATTAATGTGTCAAATATGTGCTGCGGACCATCCATGCGTGTTTCACTTCCTCCAGTCTCCATCTGGTGGTCGGGCCGCTGCCTTTGGTGTTTCGCTTTCTCATATAGATTGTCATGAAAATTGGAATTAATTTCCTGACGGTTCGCGTGCATGTTTGGGTGACACATGAGTTGTAATACCGTGACACTTATTCAACTGAAGGAAAACTGATTACCACATTTTTCTAGAAAACCGCATGCGGCACGATTGAGGCGATTGGTCATTCATTGTGTTGGTGTATATACGTGTTGGCGAAACGTGTTGTTGCCGCAGTATTTGAAGATAATTTTGATAGCGGGGTTGTTTAAACGTGTTAACACTTCGTAGTGTTTACCAAAGCACCATCAGATTGTTTTGAAATGTACACATTTCGAACGCTGAAGCAAGCAGCGGTCGAAAACTTCCTGTATTCATGGGGCCGTGGGTTTGAAAAAATTATTCTCCAGTGCGAAACCCTGGAACGTGGAAAAAACGAATGGGCGGAAACACGGTTGACCATGGTATGAACGCAATCCTGCCACTGCAATCTGCACAAAAAACATGCGTTGTGGAAACTTTGTATAAACATATGCTTTGTCAGTTGTTTCGTGAAAACTGTGGTTGCGGAAGTGCTGCAGAAGCGCCAGGAGAAAACCCATCGTAGATCATTGTGCTACAAGAGCATCAAGTGACGTTTGGATAGGCATTCACATGTTTTGGAATCAACGATCCCTAAGCGGTGTTAAAAAATAAAATCAAGGGGCTTGAGCCCGAAATATTTTTAAATTTATTTTTCAAAAGGTGCTTATCATAAGTTTTGAGTAAGTCAGACCCCTATGATTTTATTTTTGAGACATGGGCCAAGACCAAGAACCAACCCCAATGCAGCTGGTGGAGTAGCTTTAGGTTGGGTCCCTTTGGTTTTATTTTTGCGTTTTGCTTACCTTTTTGTTTTGTTGGAACATGTTGGAACACACCTCTTGTGTTGGAATTGGTGGACAAGACATGATGAAAACAATGGCTATCACGCCACAAAAAAGAAAAAACTATGGATTGTGATTACCTGATTACACCATTCTGCTTCTACAAAGCTTGAAATACATATTTAAAAGCTGGGTTTGGATATGTTTGGATTCAATATTTGATAGATTTTGGGGAAAATAAAATCCAAGGTTCCCAAGCTTGTAGAATTTTGTTGGGTAGTATGGTTGGAATATATTGAATCTATGCTTTGTTTGGTGGTCACTATTGTTTGGGCAGAAAAGGATGCAGCCAGAACACGCCACAAAAAAGAAAAAAAACTATGGATTGTGATTACCTGATTGCACCATTCTGCTTCTACAAAGCTTGAAATACATATTTAAAAACTGGGTTTGGATATGTTTGGATTCAATATTTGATAGATTTTGTTGAGATTTCAGATGATTTCACAAACACAGATGCTGACCTTGAACCCTTCAGTTTTATTTCTGGAACATTTTGGATGCTGGCTTGGAACCTTCTTGATTTTATTTCTGGAACCTCTTGATTTTATTTTTGCAAACCCCTCAGTTGGATGACTGATGATACTGATGATTTTCTCTTTGCGCAACATGTGGGGTTGAACTCCCCTGATTTCATTTTTGCATTTTGGGGGTCAGTAGCCTGGGTGCCCTTGATTTCATTTTATTTTTCAGGGGTTCAACCCCATCTGGGTGCACCACAAGGGGATATCAACGTATTTGTGCGATGGTTAGTCTTATTGTTGAAGGTCGGCATTAGAGTGACGCTGGCCGGAGGATGATTGAAACGTTCCGCGGCCCTTTTCCACCTCAAAGTTGCTGGAAATAGTTGCTGCTTCGATGGTTTGGGCCGGCCGCCCATGGTTATGGAGAGTTGCTTTAGAGGGCATGTGCCTCAGTGATTTCATAGATTTCCGTTTTCGAAGGCCAAAATTTCAAAAAAAACAAAACACACAGCTGTGTTTTTTTCATGTAAAGACACCGAATATGATTTTGCCACTGGTTAGTGTTTGGGCCGGATTGTGTGGCCACTTGTTTGCAGGATCGCGGCGAGGTTGCACTAAGTTGGGCATATGACCTCGTATGGCGGTGAGAAACCCAGGTCACACATACTTCGGAAATCCAAGCAACATGAGTTTTCCCAAGACGTTCTGCTGTCATTTCTCCTAGGAAATGAATCTCACTGTGACCCTTGACCCAGGAAATTCAGCGAGGAAAGGCTGGGCAAGAACAGATGCGCAACTTTCAGTTGGAATTGGAATTTCATATTATACCCAAAAATATTAACTATATTGTCAAACCAACCTGGTGTCCGGCTTTGTCCCGCATGTTGTTTTGGGAAAAAAATAGTTTCCTGCTGATTTTCCGTGTGATGAAGTAAACCCAATGCCATAAACGTAGCATTTGGGGATGATTTTGCAAACCATTTATGGCAATGTTTGAATTTATTGTTGGATTAGCATCCTTCATACCTTGGGTTTAATGTGGTAGATTGCCATAATTATTTTATATTGTTATTGTGGACTAGTCATTGGTTTATTGTGGGGTTTAGGGGCTTACCACATGGCCCCAGACGCACCAACACCTTCGACAGCAGCGTCGACTCCATCTCCTGCCGGATCCGCATGGGGTGGTCAAAAATGGGTCCATAGGGTATTGGGTACGCCCCAAAATGGGGATGTTAATGAGTAAAACCGGGAAAATTATGATAAACTGAGAAACCATGAAATTTTTGGTGTAAACATGGGTTAACAATTGTTGAACACACCCATTTGATTCATACACTGACACCCAGGGTTCCATCTTGCTTTGCTGGAAATGCATGTTGCTGTCAACCTATCAACCCAACATGTTCCTAGCGTAAAACCGACATCTTCTTGAACGACCAAGGCATGGCCACCCAAGAAAGATGCTGGTGTCGCGCTGCCTCGTTTTGAATTTGTTCATGATCACCGCAGCTCTGAGTTTCAATCATGCTGGTTCGGGACGTGCGGATCTCAGCGGCTTGTGCACATTTTGTTTGTGTGTACATTTGAACCCTTTAGATCCAAAGCTCAAGCGTTCGGCTTGCTGGTGGGCAACACACTGCATCGTGCAGGTTTTGGTTCAAATTTCAAAAGGATGTCACCGAACAGGCCCATTCCATCCCAATGACAGTCCAAAAGCGTCCAGCCATGGATGAGGTTGGTACAGCCAGGAAAGAGTTGAAAGGCTCAGAGGGACCCTTGACAAAGGCAGATGGGTGGGTGTAATTGTGTTCAACAACCAAGAGAGGTGGTTCCTATTCCAAACCCACCCCTTCATCAAGAGCAGGCAAACGCGTTTCCTAGATGATTTTTTCTACTAATTTCTCCATGGTGGGATAAAATGCATTTTCTCATTGAAACAATGGTGAACGTAAAATTCAATTTGACAGAAACATGGCCAAGGACACGCAGATGCTGCAGCCGCCCGAGAGGTGGAAGTGGAGCGATCTTTGGCAGTGTCCGGTTTGGGGGCGGCCCAGGCGATACATGGTCAGGTCCCTGTGATCGATCTTTCGGACAGCGGGGTGGCTGATGCCATGTGGGAGGCTGCGCAGGAACCAGGATTTTTCGTGGTCACTAACCATGGTATT